TATGACATCAGATGTCTGGGCTGAAGCCCCTGTGCTGATGGGCAGTGTAGGCCCAGGGAGTGGCTTCCGGAGGGTCCTCTGTTGCCTTGAGTGCAGTTCAGAATCAGAGCTGGTGGGGCCAGACCTGACCCCCCAGTGCTGGCATTCTTTGCTGTGCAGGAAGTCACAGGTGCCCCCTCCTTCTCAGGGCTGACACCATTGTTTGAAACCAGCCCCGTTCCCCTTGGGGTTAAAGCTTTCTGCCTTGCTCCTCATTAAACCTGCTATGTCTGTTCATAGTAAGGGGCATCATGTCACATAATCGCAATAAAAGTTTTTACAGTGAGAGATAGGCGGTCAAAATGTCTAAATCGTTAGAGATTAATTTAGATTACAAAATATTAATGTCTAATTTGGATTCTTAGATTTATCACCTGAAGTACTGTATGCGGAACTATTGAGTCTTGTATGAGGCATAACTTTTAAAAAGCTAAATGTGATGCTAGATAATCCAAAGGTAAGAATGGATCTCCATACTCAAGGCACACTAGCTTTGGAAACCCCTCTAGAGTGTCCTTTCTTTCTGTGCTCTGTTGTGCCTGCGTTTGGCTCAAAGTCATAACATCTGTTGCCTTGCTTAGAAATGATTAATTGGGGGGAACCCGGGTGTTGCCTGTTGCTGCCCCGGTGTCCCCTGGCTCCCTGTGAGGTGCCCCAGAGGACACATGCACCTCCGGAGGAGGCCCTCAAGGGAATAAGACTTGCCCTCCCTGGCCAGTGGGCAGCCAGGCCCCCGAGCGATGGCTGTGTTCTCTCTCTGATCTAGAACATGAGGCACTGTTGGGAGTTCGATTTTTAATTCATAATTAGCAGACTTTGATAAACAATACTTCTAAGGACTTTTTGGCCACATTCAGCCCCTCGTCATGTGCTGCAGGCGGTAACTGGAGGTTTCCCACCCTGCTGTTTCTGGTTATGTGATGCACCTTACAGAGCAAGCCCAAAGGGCTCTATTTGTTGTTTTGTTTTTTGAGACAGGGTCTCACTATGCAGTTGAGACTGACCT